CCTAAAGTCAGATACGACCTTCACACTACTCGACGCTAGAGTTCCTCGAACTAGAGAAGAACCAAGGACTGTTCCCCCAATCTGACTTGGCCAGTGAGGTGATCGCTGGAGTTTTAGACACAGGTATCTGGCCCGAAAGCTTGAACTTCGACGACAAGGGATTTGGACCCATCCCCAAAAGTTGGAAAGTTGAGTGTGATCGAGGGAAAGTCGCCGGAACGAATGGCGATGAATGGGGAGGAACTGGTGGTGTAGGCATGATTTTAGCGAATACTACAACAAATGGGAAGGAACTGGTGGCCGATGCACATCTGTTGTCAATGACTACAGTGAGTGAGAAAACCGGACACGATTACACCGATGGTGGTGGTGATAGCAGCTTTAGCTCCCAAGGCCCGAATACGATTACACCGTGTTGAAGTTGATTCAAAAGTTGAAAACTAGACTTGGTCTTTGACATCTAGGTTTCTGTTGAGATATTTTCTCCTTTATTTTCTGATTGATTAGTTTAGGTCTGATGTAGTGCCAATAAAATCTGTTTGTTGAGAAATTTTAGCAATTTAGTTTTTAATTGTAAGCCTATATATAGGCACATTCAGTTCAGAAATAAAATACAGCAGTTAACTACAAACTTCAGCAAATAAGTTTGTTCTATTTCTACTTGTTTTTTTTCTTCGATCTCCAACAATTTGTGGTATCAAAGCCTTGTTCTTTCACAACTAGGCGTAAAAATCATGGCAACCAATGGAAATGTGGTGAGCATTTCTCAACCAGCAATTCCTGTCTTCAAAGGGGAATGCTACAAATTCCGGAGCATCAAGATGAAGACTCTGTTCAGGTTTCAAGATCTGTGGGACTTGGTGGAAAATGGCTATCCTGATCCGGATGAAGAGGCCAGGCTGAAAGAGAACAAGAAGGACTCTAAAGCATTATTCTTCATCCAACAAGCAGTTCATGAGTCAATTTTCTCCAAAATTGCAGCAGCAACAACAGCAAAAGAAGCTTGGACGACACTGCAGCTGGCGTTTCAAGGCTCCTCGAAGGTAATCACGGTGAAACTTCAATCCCTTCATCGTGATTTTGAAACCTTGAATATGAAAAGTGGGGAATCAGTACAAGTTTTCCTTTCTAGAGTATCTGCCATTGTTAATCAAATGAAATCCTTGGAGAAGAAGTTTCTGATGTAACTGTAGTTGCAAAAGTATTGAGAAGTTTGACTCAAAAATTCGATCATTTAGTTGCTGCCATTGAGTCAAAAGACTTGTCTAATTTCTCTTTTGATGAACTAATGGGTTCTTTGCAAGCTCATGAAGCCAGACTGAATAGATCAATTGAAAAATGTGAAGAGAAAGCATTTCAATTGAAGGGGGAGTCCTCTAACCATAAGGATGAGCCAAAAGATGCAGCGGGCAGAGGACGTGGAAGAGGAGGACACCGTGGTAGAGGTGGTCCAGGTAGAGACAGAGGACGAAATGGTGAGCAAGGTGAACATAGGCCGTTCGATGACAAGCAAAAAGGCAACAAGAGTGGTGTTCAATGTCACTACTGCAAAAGATATGGGCATATAAAAGCTGAATGCTGGAAAAGGGAAAAACAAGCAAGCTATGTAGAAAAAGAAGAGGAAGAGGAGGTGAAGTTGTTCATGGTCTATCATGAAGACACAAATGTCTCTACTGACATTTGGTGTTTGGATAGCGGTTGCTCAAATCACATGACCAGCGTGAAGTCATTATTCAAGGAACTTGATGAATCATACAAGTTGAAAGTGAGAATTGGAAACAACAAGCAGATACAAGTTGAAGGCAAAGGTACTGTGGCAATTAACAACGGTCACAGTAAAATTAAACTTCTCTCTGATGTCTATATTATTCCTAGCTTGTCACATAATTTGTCAAGTGTTGGACAACTTATGGATAGTGGTTATTCTCTCTCATTTGATGATGGTTCATGTGTGATTAGAGATAAAAAATCAGGTCAGATAATAGCTGATGTTTGTATGACCAAAAATAAGTTGTTTCCTCTTGAAATCTCTAGTGTAGAGAGTCATGCTCTTATTGTCAAAGAAAATAATGAATCTAGAATGTGGCATTTACAGTATGGGAATTTACATGTCAAGGGGTTAAAGTTGTTGAGTAAAAAAGAGATGGTTTTTGGGCTTCCTAAAATTGAATCTTTAGATTTGTGTGAAGGGTGTATCTATGGGAAACAAAGTAAAAATCCATTCGTTGTAGGAAAATCCAGAAGAACATCTAATTGTCTTGAGCTTGTTCATGCTGACCTTTGTGGGCTTATGAAAACAGAATCCTTTGGTGGAAGTCGATATTTCTTGTTGTTTACAGATGATTGCAGCCGCATAAGTTGGGTGTACTTTCTGCAAAACAAATCAAAAGCATTTGGAATCTTCAAAAAATTCAAAGCTTTTGTTGAAAAGCAAAATGGAAGAAGCATAAAGGCATTACGAACTGATAGAGGAGGAGAGTTTGTATCTCATGATTTTAACAAATTTTGTGAGGAGCATGGCGTGCATAGAGAGCTGAYAGCACCTYACACTYCGRAGMAAAAYGGCGTTGYTGAACRAAARAATCGTACAGTTGTAGAGATGGCAAGGAGTTTATTGAAAGCCAAAGAACTTCCAGATGTGTTTTGGGCAGAAGCAGTTGCCACGACAGTCTATTTGCTGAATTTGTCACCGACAAAGGCTGTTATGAATCAAACACCATATGAAGCTTGGAGTGGTAGAAGACCATGGGTAAGCCACTTAAAAATTTTTGGTTGTATTGCCTATGCTTTGGTAGACTCTCATAATCGTAGTAAACTTGATGAAAAATCTGTTAAGTGTATTTTTATTGGCTATTGCTCTCAATCCAAAGCATATAGGCTATATAACCCTGTTAGTGGCAAAGTGATCATAAGTAGGAATGTTGTGTTTGACGAAGATGCTAACTGGAATTGGGGAAGAAATAAAGAAGCTACAGAAATTGAAATTGTGATGGGAAGTGAAGGTCAACCAGCTGAAGCGGCAAATTGAACTCCCACAAGCACACCGAGTTCATCAGCTTCTTCTTCACCATCCTCCACTTCATCAAGTAGCAAAAGTTCTCCTTCTCAAGCATCCTCAGATGAAACAACTCCAAGAAAATTCAGATCATTAATAGATATTTACGAGACCACACACCTTGTTTGTATCTGACCCTACAAGCTTTGAAGAAGCAGCAGACAAAGAAGAATGACAAAGTGCCATGAAAGAAGAGATTGAAGCAATTTAGAAAAATGAGACATGGGAATTGGTGGAGCTACCTGAAGGGAAAAATACCATTGAAGTCAAATGAGTGTTTAGGACGAAGTACAATTCTGATGGAGAAATTCAGAAACACAAAGCACGACTTGTGGACAAAGGATACTCGCAGCAGCAAGGTATCGACTACGATGACACTTTCTCTCCTGTAGCACGGTTTGAAACGGTGAGAACACTTATAGCCTTGGCTGCACAGTTGAGTTGGCCTGTTTACCAATTCGATGTCAAGTCTGCCTTCTTAAATGGCGAGCTGAAAGAAGTTTATGTAACTCAACCGGAAGGGTTCATTGCTCGTGGTAAAGAAGAAAAGGTGTACAGGCTAAAGAAAGCTCTCTATGGCCTAAAGCAAGCCCTGCGAGCATGGTACAACAAGATTGACTCTTATTTTCATCAAAATGGCTTTGAGAGAAGCAAGAATGAGCCCACACTTTATTTGAAGAAAAATGGTAAGAATAATCTTCTCATTATCTGCCTATATGTTGATGACATAATTTATATGAGTTCTTCTTCTCTTATTGAAGAGTTTAAAGTTTGCATGAAGAAAGAATTTGAGATGTCTGATTTAGGTCTATTGCATTATTTCCTTGGTCTGGAAGTGAAACAAGCTGAAGATGGGATATTTGTTTCACAAAGGAAATATGAAACTGATCTTCTTAAGAGGTTTAACATGCTTAATTGCAAAGTTAAAACCACACCCATGAATGTAAATGAGAAATTGCAGCTTGAAGATGGTACTGAACCAGCAGATGCAAGATATGTTAGAAGCTTGGAGGGTGGTCTGATATATTTGACTCATACTCGACCGGATATAGCCTTTTCGGTTGGAGTACTTTCTAGGTTTATGCATTCTCCCTCAAAGCATAATCTTGGAGCAGCAAAGAGAGTCTTGCGTTATATAGCTGGAACACTTGAATTTGGATGTGGTATAGTCATGTGTCAAATTTTAAGTTGATTGGATTAACTGATAGTGATTGGGCAGGGTGTTTGGATGATCGAAAGAGCACTTCGGGTTATACTTTCTGTCTTGGATCAGGTGCCATTTCATGGAGTTCACAAAAGCAAGCAACAACCGCTTTGTCATCCTCAGAAGCTGAGTATGTAGCTGCAACCTCATCAGCATGTCAAGCTGTATGGTTACGAAGGGTACTTGAGGAACTTGATCAAGAGCAAAAAGAAGCAATTGAGATTTATTGTGACAACAAATCTGCAATTGCTATGACTAAGAATCCAGCCTTTCACAGCAGAACCAAGCATATTGGCATTCGTGTTCATTTCATCAAAGACCTTGTAGTAGAAGGACTGATTGTTTTAAAGTACTGTAGCACAGATGAGCAAGTGGCAAACATTCTAACAAAATCTCTTCCTCATAGAAAACATGTTTACTTCAGATCCCAGCTTGGTGTTTGCAAGTTTGAATCAAGGGGGAGTGTTGAAGTTGATTCAAAAGTTGAAAACTAGACTTGGTCTTTGACAGCTAGGTTTCTATTGAGATATTTTCTCCTTTATTTTCTGATTGTTTAATTCAGGTCTGATGTAGTGACAATAAAATCTGTTTGTTGAGAAATTTTAGCAATTTAGTTTTTAATTGTAAGCCTATATATAGGCACATTCAGTTCATAAATAAAATGCAGCATTAACTACAAACTTCAGCAAATAAGTTTGTTCTGTTTCTACTTATTTTTTTACTTTGATCTCCAACACACCGATGGTGGTGCCAGGTGTGAACATATTAGCTGGTTGGTCTGGCGTGGTAGGAACTTCTGCTGCGAGGAACTGCCGCTGTTATCACCAGTGGTGGCAATCTTCACGTATGACGCCATGGATACGTGGAGGAACTACCGCTGCGAGAAACTACCGCTGCAAGGAGAAACTTCACGTCATCCCGTTCGACACCGCACAGAGTGGAGGAACTGCCACTACAACCACCACAGTGAAGTAAGCACTGACACTAACGAATGTAGGCACTCTAGCAATGTATAAGGCGTCAGTGACATCGCAAATGGAATTGGTAAAAATCTTGGTTGAGCCGGATTCGTTGACCTTTAGTCAACCAAATGAGAAGAAAAGGTATATGGTGATATTCAGTAGGGGTTCGATGCCATAAGGGATGACTAGCTTCGCTCATCTCGAGTGGTCATGCTAGGTGTGAACATATTAGTTGGTTGGTCTGGTGTAGTGTAAACTGTCAGGCGAAGAACTGCCAGTGTTATCACCGGTGGTGGTAGCCTTCACGTGCAACGCCATGGATACGCAGAGGAACTGCCGCTACGAGGAGAAACTTCACGTCGTCCCGTTGGACACTGCACAGAGTGGAGGAACTGCCGTTGTGACCACCACAGTAAAGTATACGCGGACACTAATGAACGTGGGAACTCTGGCGATGTATAAGGTATCTGTGACATCGCAGGTGGAGTCGGTAAAGATCTTGGTCGATCTGGATTCATTGGCCTTCAGTCAACCAAACGAGAAGAAAACATATATGGTGACGTTCAGCGGGGGTTCGATTCCATCGGGGATGACTAGCTTTGCTCGTCTCGAGTGGTTGGACGGGAACCACGCTGTTGAGAGCAAGAACACTCTGGGTTGAGAGCAAGAAAGATTCTCAGTGAGGAATTTCGGTCAAAAAAACTTTAAAAAGCTGAATCACCATTCAGGGGCAGTTTAGTCATGACACATGCATTTAGGTTGACATGGACAAATTGGGTCATTGAATTTTAACGGTGCTCTAACGGATGGTGAGTTTTAGAAAATAAAATCTAACTGACATGGTGAGTTTTGGACATTTTGAAAAGTTATGGTGAGTTTAAGAAAATTCATAAAAAGTGATGGTGGGTTTAGGACAATTTCCCTTTATTTATTTATTTTTCACAATAATTTAAGGTCCGTTTGGTTTGCAGTCAGAATTGGAATTGGAATGATCTATTCCCATATATAGTCTATTTGGTTCAGACAGAAATCGAAATGGGAATATAAATAAGCTGGAATGGGACTTCATTACTAAAGGAGGGGGAGGGAATGGTCATTCCCTCAAATGGGAGAATGCCATTTCACCAAAAATGAAAATGAAGGGATGAGAGATCCATCATATGGATGGCCGAACCCTGCAGGTAGGTTGGGCGAAATTTCAAAAATTTCTCTCTCCCTTGTGGGAATCACATTCCCTATTTTAGAAAACTGCATTTTCAATGATCAATCTTGAACCTAAACTAGACTAGATCTAAAACCAAAAGGTAGGAGAGGGATATACCTGATACGGAGTAGTAGTAACCCCCAACGAAGGTGTTCACGCCCAAGGAGAATACCAAAGACTGCTCCCACTAAAGATGACACAACGTAGGGTGGAGCAGAATCAATAGGATGGTTTTTCAGCAAGAACCGAATTCTTCAGCAAGAACTTGATGGAGGGCTGGTGAGCACGACTTCTGATTATCTTTTCTCCCAAAAGATAAAATCAAGAACTCTTCTTGATCGCTCCTACAGGTGGAGATCGAACAAGAAGAGGCGGCAAGAGCAGGAAAGGGTAGAAATCTGAAGCAGTTGAACTGCAAGATTTCTTTCTTGTGATCTGCGAACCAGAAGATCTCTCTTCTTTTCTGTATATGTTTGGTTCGCCCCTTGCTGCTCTATTTATAGCCTTTAAAGATAGGTTCTCCTAATTCCATTAGGAATTTCCTAATCCAAATCTTGTATTTGGATCTAGACTCTCTTTAAGAGATAAGGATAATCCCTTATCTTATCTGCAGATAAAGATCAACCCTCCTAATCTAATTAGGAGTTTCCTGATCCAAATCTTTATTTGGATATGGACTCTCTGAGTAGATAGGGATAATCCCTTATCCTATCTGTTGATCTGAATCACAAAATCGCCCTCTTTTAATTAATCACATTAAGCTAGATTGATTTGGGCTTTAGGCCCATTAAGTCCATTTGCTCACTTACCCTCCTATCTTCTGTCCAGTTGGATATCCTTTGTGGTGTGGGACCCAAACATTGATCTGCACATCAGCCACATGGGTTCAGCCCAGCTTTTGTTACAAGGCCTGGCTGAATTCACTGTAGGAGACAGTGAACCCCTGAGCCCATCACCATGGGCTCTTAAAGGGCCCAACATTTACACTAAATGGTCCTTGGGTCAAGCCACCTTATAAAATCCCAAGGACTATGGGTAGATACAAGATTAGACCATCAGGTATTACCCTCAATGGTCTTACACTTAACCTCTCAGCCCATAATGATCAAGCACTGCCCGACAAGAGAGGACCTCTCCCTCGGCTGCAAGGTACAGTGCTGCATTCTCTACTCACATGGATCCTGGGAATTAAAACGTTTTGCAAACATTTTGAAACCATAATATATAATATATATTGTATATCTCTATATAAATATATTTTGCAAAACAAATTTCAACAGTTGAAATCGACTGTCAGCAATTTTGGTTTCCATCAGAGAGAGTATACCCCCGATCATTCACTTTGTTCGACAAAGGGGCTGATCCTGTCACTATGATCACCCACTCAGGTGAATTCTCGGACTGTCCCAACATACTTAGGTTTTGACCCCCTCTAAGGATCTCACTGATTGGCATATCAAAGACAACCCAATCCAACACCTAGTGCAGTATCATAATCAAGTCTAGGGGTCAGGTGTAACATTCCAGTTTTGCCCATCTATCTCCAAGGTHCAGGGCAATACTGTAATTCTGGTCTGGTTCAGGGTTTCAAGAAAACCCACACTGCATGTACCTCAGGTCTTACCCTAGCAGCTGAGACAAACCACCCCAACCAACTTGGCGGCACATCAGTGTCAGCCTTGGCTGGATAAATCTTCACAGATCTATCCAACGGCTATGAAGATTTTAAAATAACACAAGTCTCATATGTGTCCAGTTTAAGGGTATTATAGAGAACCACACCATAACAACATGAATCAAATATGTACTTTATTCATTTACATTAAATGTCATAAGATACATCATTCTGATTGGAACTAAGGGCATACACTGTCTAACAGAAAATGAGATTCCAATTCTACCCAACCAAATAATTTCGGTTTCAATTCTAGACCCTTATTCTCACGAACCAAATTGACCCTTAATTCTCAAGGGAGACTGTTCAAAGATTGAAGAATCACCGTCAACTTGGGCAGTGTTCAATAAACCTGCTGTTGGATGCAAATGACTGGAGGAGACCTTAGTCGCTTCATTAGAGATAAAATTTCCACAACCCTTCAGCCAAAGATCAGAAACTTCTGAATAGGTTGAATCATAATCTAGGGTTATTTTCATCTTCCTAGATATGAAATTCGTTATCTTAAAACATTTAAACACTGTGTTATAAGTTCGTTAATAACATGATGTCTGCTACATTGTGACATTTTGTTTAACAACAGCAGTGAAATGATCCAACAATGAATGCAAGTGAAAAGACTCGTTGTCTCATTGACACTTTGAGTTCTAACTTGTAAGGAGAAGGGTCTCTAAATCACTTACCTGTTAGAATCTGGAACAAGAGTCTTACTTCACTTGGTTGAGGCAAGATTCTAAATATCGATACGTCCAATATGCTGGTAGGGCGTATCAAACAGTATCGATACTGTTTTTTTTTTTTATTTATTTTTTACTTCTTTTTTCCAAATCCAATTGAAGGGGGTAGTTTAAGGTTCTTCCACCCCCTAAATTGGTCAAAACCCCAATACATACTCTGTAACAATATATCAGAATGCTCCCAATATAATATATCGGCTGATACGTAACAATTTTTTGACCCTTGGGTTGAAGTAACTTTTGCAAAAGTTTGGGCTTAAACCCATAATAGATTCAGATTCTATGAATGCTAAACAAATGATTCAAAATCTATGCAATATAAGAGAAGCATTTTGGGGAGGCCCAATCCTAATGTAGCTTGAGTGATTGACCCAACCCAAGCTTTTGTACCGGTTGAGCTTGGATCTTACTCAAATTTCAGCCTGCCTTTCAAGTGGGACCATTTTTCCTCTACGCTAGATAATGAGCACCTTGTACGAAGTATGGGGCCACTATTCTGACATACTCTGTTTACACACATTATCAATTATTATTATTATTATTATTATTATTATTATTATTATTATTATTATTTGTAAGTATTTTATTTGACTTAAGAGATTAAATCAAAATCTAGTATATCTAATTAGAGTTCCTTATTTAATGTAATTAAAACATATTTGTAATTGATATCCTATTTCTTTTGTGAGAAACAACTACTTTCACTCTTTCATTCTAAGAGTGGGTAGACGTGTCTTGAGAAAGAAAGCTTTTATTTGAAAGTTAAAAGAACCAATCTGTGGATGCTTTTTTTAGAAGTTAGGGTGCCACTTGTTTGAAGTAGAATTAAGCCCTATAATAATGGGGTTCTTCTTTAATATATGTTAGATTCCAATTCAATGGATGTTTAGGTAGAATTTGATAGTCAACCATCTGAAACAAAATTAACCTTAGGATATGTTTGGTTTCAAGGAAAATTTAAGAAATCTATACAAGGTTTGTAAAAGCCTTTCTATCTTTCCCTTGATTTTCCTATTTTATCCTTCAAACCAATCACAACCTTAAGGTTTGAAGTCTTGGATGGTTTCATGGGCTAGGAAAATCAATCTATTATGTTCTATGTTGTCTATAGTTTCATCTTTAAGAGTAGACCACACCAATGTTTTCAAAACTGGACCGGACCGGATCAGACGGTCAGACCAGAAATTGGGAACCGATCACTTGATCGATTCCATTTTACCCCAAAACTTCTATTTGGCCAAAAACCGTTGATTTGGTTAGTGAACCACTAACCCAGGCAGTCGAACTGTCAAACCGTTCGACTCAAGAATGGGTTTTGGCTATTTTTTGGGTTTATTAAATTTTTTAATTTTTTTGTCAGAGCAGGTCATCCATTCAAACCGAACGATCGAACCGATTGACCTAGGAACCAGACCCCAGAATGGTTCCCTGTCTGGTCTAGTTTTAAAAACCTTGGACCACACATATAATGTATAAGCAAGGTAAATAAAAACAAGGCCTCATGTAGGCACAATGTTGTAAGAACGTTCAATGAGCACTTAAAAATAGTTTTTTTTTTAACACTTGTCCATTAGAATACCCCCAAACTACCCTCGAAAAAGATTAAAAACCACTTCTGATGGTTGTCAAAATATTTGTTAAGTGTTCATTGAACATGCTTACTATATTGTGCCTACTAGATCTGGCCCCAATCGATCTTTCAACTTTGTTGGTTTTGCCTATGATTTTCATAGGGAGATGTAAAAATAGGTCACCAAGGAATGACGATTCCTCAAATGTTGCCAATTGTCCTATGGATGAGATTTTACCACATATGAATAGATTGTATATATATATATATAGTAAAGTAAAGCTTGCTAGGTCAGATGCCCTCTCTTTGCCCCATTACCCAAACCAAGCAATTCTATAAGGGGTGCAAGATTCCCTCTAGAAGCCCATGGAATTGCCACTTGGCATGGCAATCTCCCCTTTCTTTTCCCCATTAATTTAGAAATAAACCCCACTAACTTTTATTTTAGGAAGAAAACCCATTAACTTAGGAAATC